AACAAGATAGCTTTTGGTCGTTCTAACTCGTTATTCACCTGCACAGTGACGCGGTACACGGGGGTGATGCACTCTATTCACCGCCATCTTAGTAGTGTCACCACAAGTTAATCTTGGAATCAATCCTAGAGGACTGGTACCTAACCATATTTGGCAGATGGACGTCACACACTTGCCAGAATTTGGAAAATTAAAATATTTGCATGTTACAGTTGATACTTCTTTCGGATTTTTGATGGGCTCCCTTCATGCTGGAGAAAAAACTAAAGATATTATAGCTCATTGCTTACAAAATTTTGCCACTGTGGGTGTTCCAAAACAGTTAAAAACGGATAATGGTCCTGGTTATACCTCTACCTCTTTTAAACAATTTTGCTTATCATTTGGCGTTACTCATATAACAGGAATCCCATACAATCCTCAGGGACAAGGCATAGTTGAAAGAGCTCATCAAACTATGAAAATGTACTTATTAAAACAAAAAGAGGGAATTGGAAAGGGGTATATATCCCCCAAAGATAAACTTAAAATAACCCTTTTTACTCTAAACTTTTTAAATTTGGATTCATCAGGGCTTAGTGCTGCGGAAAGGCATATGTGTCCAAAAAATGTACATAAGCCTAAGGTACTTTGGAAGGATATTCTAACAGGACAATGGAAAGGTGATTGTCTGGAGTCGGGGTTCTGTCTGTGTGTTTCCACAGGGAGAACAGCAGTCGATTTGGATTCCAGAGACACTAACCAAAGCGATTTCTATAGACCAAAAAGAAGATTATTTGACTCAAATCCATAACAGCTGATATCCAGAGTTCTAGCTTGGCTATTCTTGCATCTGCGACAGTGATTTTACCACACCTAGAGGCTAATGAATAATGAACACCATTAAGGCCTATTTCAAATGTAAAAAAAACCTTGAGGCTTGCTTGTGGGAATACCTTCAGACCCATTATGCAAGTTACAGAAAAAAGGATGGGATATCCAAAAAAGAGTCAAACCCAGGTGGTAACCAGGATGTCTTTTTTCAATATCTATTTTATTATTGCCTTTTCCCACATCATAAAGTTCTATTTTATTTTTTGAGCTCATACAGACCTAGGTTAATGTTTTTCTGATCAGTTTTATTTTTTAACTGTGGAGTTTTTAAACATTGCAATGGAGATTTCACCTGTGTAAAGCTACAAGGCCTTTACTATTGTCTCATGTGTTGTATGTTATGTGTGCACACTTGTGTTTTGTGTTGTATGTCTGTATGTGCGTATGTCCATATATCATATATGAGGAGCGCTCATGAAAACATGGATCCGAATTTTTTTTTATTCACGTGATTTAAATGGTTTAATTTAAATCAGGTAAACAGCTGTTGAAGATTGTTTTTAAAGGTGGTTAACAGATCTGTTTGTTTACTTTCACCTTTCCTTTTCATTATATTTAATAATTCTGTTCAGGATAATGTAAATTGTTCAGAAAATTGTTTTCTTAGTACCTGTTGGAATGTTACATAACTTTTTTTTAGCCATCGTTGCCAGAATTCCTATCTTCATCCCAGTGCCGGTGAAGACAAAGATAAAACCAAACTACAGCTTCTTCGATAATTATCACAACAAACTGTATAAACTGATGCATCAATGAATAATAACACAACAAGTAATGCTCAATCAAGGAGTTGATTTACTTTGGGAGGAAATGGACATATTGATGGATTCCTCTGCTTTGAACTGCTTGCAGAACTTGCCTGGACTATGTATCACTTGTATGCATTGTGAACTATCTGTTGATGCAGCGAATTGTGGTAGTGCTGGCGTATCTTTGCAGATGGTGTCATCAGTGGTACAATTTTTCCAAAAAGAGCCATCATTTGGCTTGGTGTCGTGGCATTTTGCATCCTCCTCCCTTCTGCTAGTGATGGTCTAAAATTTGGGGGCCAACAGAGGTGACGCAAAGAACCTCACCCCCCCACTGATGCAAAGGCCTATCCACAAGTAAGACTGTATGCTGGACCGGTAGTCAGTGACGGGTATGATCCAATTGCAGTGGTACTAACCTAAGACAGGAGGCTGACACCTTGAGGTCAGTTCATCCGATGACAGGTAAGGACCATATGTAGTATTGGACAGCCTAACAGGCACGGTCCCTAAGCCACATTGCTTGTTGTTTAATTAAACAGAAGTGGGGAGATGTTGAGGGCCACAGCCGAGTCGGGATGACGCGTGGCATTTTTGCCAGAAGTAGTGGTTGAGAGGTGACGCTAGCGAGCCATTAAGATGATGACTTTTGAGTTCTGGCGGAGTTCCCGTTGAGTTCCGCTTGAGCTCTCGCGGGGATTCCCGGAGAGTTCCCATTGGTTGGGGAAGTGCCGGAGGAGGGATAATTTCGGTTGCTGGTTCCTGGAGGAGCCGTGTGGCGTTCGGGAGGATTCCCGGGGAGCGTGTGTGGAGTGTGCTGGTGGAGTTCAGAAATAAAGTTTGTTCCTGCTTCTGTGGGTCGTGATTTGTGCCCAGCCAGACTGCGGCACTGCTTTGATAATAGGAATAGTGGAAAAAATCCTTTGTCCTAAGCTATTATAAAGGATATATGTATATGTGTATATACATATATCCTTATATAGTATATCTTCATATAAATATATAATTTCATAGTCTATTCAGCTTCATACCTCCTTACAGCATCAGGGAAACTCATTGACTTCCTTGTTTTTAGTATGGAATCATGAAAAAAAAAACTGCATTACAAGAAGTAGCTGACAATTAAGAGGACTGTTAATTTTCTTTGTTTTTATTATAGCTGCAGCTGCAGTAGTTAGAAGCCATGAAGATCCTGGCAAAAGTGATGGTAGTGACAATGTAAGTCAGTACCTCCCTATAAAATGGAGATCTGTCTTTCTAAAGATACTTGTTTTTATGAACAGCACTAACATCAACTGGGCTTGATGTTAATAATATACAGAATTAGCTTTTATGAATAATATTTGTAATATAATTGGGTATACTGTATTAGGTTCTTTACTTATATTCCTTCACAACAGTGTCTAATCCTCACAATAACAACTCTAGGAGGTAACTGTTACTGTCCTTGTTGCAGATGAAAATCTGAAGTCCAGAGTAGAAGCAACCTTCCTATTGCATACCAAGTAAGGAGGCAGTTTAGACAGAATCTAAAACAGCCTGCCTCCAAAGCTGGTGTCTGTCTTCCCCAGAATGTCCTCACGTAAGACAGGCTACATAACTTGTGGGGCCCTGTGCAAAATTAAAGTGCACTCAGAGCCCCTTGTTCAAAAAGTTAATAATTTTAAGGCAGCAACCACAGAATATTAAACCAAGGGTAGAGCCCTTCTGAGTGCAGGATCCTGTATCACTGTACAAGTATCACGCTCATGAAGCTTGTCCTACCACCATGTTCCCAAAGGCAGATACAGTGGGATTTTGGAGACTCTGTAGGAGATACTTCTATTTGTTCTTGCTATGATTCATGTCGATGCCCTGTGGAAACACTGCTACTTTCTCTTGGCAGTCTGAGTGCCTTTGCTTCTAACAGATTTCGGATTCATTTGTGGAAACAAAAACAAATACATAAACAGAAAAACAAGGCGTCAGTGTCTTGATAGGTGACAGATAATGATGGGGTTTTAGGTTAAAAATAAGACATCTTTCTTCTTTGCTATTTTTCTTTGAAACATCTGATTAAATCTAATAATGTAACCAAAATTGAAGTTTTATTTGTTTCCTTAATGCATACCTGGGTTCTCTGAATAAAGTGAATTTGTGTTCAACATCCTTTCTCTGTATCACTTGTAAGGGTACAGAATTTCACTTGACTCAAGACGAGATATAGAGAATCCTCATTTACTACAAGGCATTAGGACTTTAATTTCTGTTCTGTTCTATCACATTTAAGATCACTGGCACTGTGGTTCCACCTGGTGGAAAATTTAGGCCTTTCCTAACTCCATTTTAGCACTTATGATGTTTTCAACCTTAGTGCCTAACCATACAAGCTTAGAGGGTAGAGAAGCACATAAAGTCTAGGGGGAACTGTTTCTTCACTTGGGTCAGATTTTTTTCCATGAATCTCCCAGTTGAGGAGTTCAGCATCCCCTCTTGGAGCTGAAGTCATCAGATCTGGTCAAGTGTTAGGAAAACAATCAGATTAAATTCACTGTACTAAAATGTACAGTGAAGTACAATTTGTTTTCCTTCTCCCAACCCTTATGTCACAACCAACACCGCAGGCTTTTATCTTGCTCTTTGTCTTATCAGAGGGAAGCTTGTCAACTCAACTGCTAATGAGTCTTAGCATGAATTATTTCCTATTCCACTTTGGGAAACTATCCACTGTACTCTCTTCTTAAAGAGATGAAACTGGGCCCCAGATGGAACTAGCTAGTTAGATAAAAACAAATGATGAATTTTAAAAATAGAAATGGTTTATTCTTGGTAACTGTAAGACAACATAAACATGGTGTAAACCAGGCTGACTGCAAATTAACTTCTGAACTCCATGTCTGATCAGTGTTCAGTTTATTGCTCGGCTAACACGAGCAGCCACTCATATCTGACCAAAATTAGAACTCTGCTTCCAGTCTCAGCTCAGATCTTTCTTCTCCCTCTACTTCAGATTATGCTGCTTCACTTCATTTGGCAATAAATATTCAGTACTCTCTGAAAGATCTTTTCTGATATGGAACAAGGAAAACTCAAAATACATCATAACATAGAAACACCTATTCTTCAAGATTGGGTCTCTCAATTAGGTTGAATTAGGCGTTGGCCAGGGCTGTAGTTATCTAAAGCTTTTGTAGGAGTTGGGAAAAATTGTGTCCACGATGGCTCCCTTGTATAAAGGGTCTTGATACTTCTGGAATAATAATTCCATGCTTTTCAATACCTTTCTAGTTTCTATTCTATAAAGCTTTAAATAGGACTGTGTCTTTGTAAATTTATGTATACTTGAGAAACATTTCTCAAAATATTTCATTTAAAACCACCAAGAAAAGAAGCAGAAACTTGTAAAAATACATTTTTAATAAACATCAAGAAGTACAGTACACTTTTATTGAGGTTTTACCTTGCAGTTTACAGCAAACATACTATTCATTATAGCATATATATACAAGTAAACTCAGGTTCTTGATTTGTTTTTCTTCCATGGCTGGATAAACCAAATCTGGTGCACCACACTAACATTTAAGGTTATTATCCAAGTTGGTTTCTGTAAAAGGCCTTTAACAACAAATTATTCCCCCTTTACAATGATAGCCTGATGAATGCTCAAGAGTGACTAAACGAACTATAAATACTTGCTTTCCTTTGATGGATTTAAAAAATAGCAAATCTGAAACACTAAAAAGACAATAAGGAAACAGCTGTTTCTTTTGCCAAGTGAATCCATAATTAAATACTTACTGTGACAACAGATTATGAAGCCAAAGGATTCTCAATGTTTATAGTTATAATTCCAGGAACTAAAAACTATCTAGCCTACTTTTCTTTAACATTGTTTACACAAAGACCAAGGGGTGATGGAATTCTTGATTCTTATGAACCAAAATTTAGTGAGATGAAGGACTGAAATTAATTAGCAAAGAGGGAAAATTAATATTAATCTCAAAATTCCACCTACCATTGTTCTTGGAATGATCAAGATCAGCTACAACTGAGAAGAATGAAAAGAATGAGAACTGAGATAAATCAGAAGCCACAATTTAAAAACCAAAGCCTTGCATGCTTTCTACTGATGCCATTTAAAAATTACACAAATGGATTTATTTCTATGTACATAAAGTAGTATTTGAATTAGGAAAAAAATTCTGTCTCTCTCTCTATATATATATCTCTAGAAATATCAGAACCATACTCTGATTTGTAAAAGAGGCATAATAATCTGTTTACCATATAACTAGCTGTTTGTAAAATCTTTAATAGTTAATAAAATCCTTGCAAACATAATGCTAATATGTAGCAAATCACACCAACTAAATAAGCAGCTCAAGTTCATAGGGCTAAAAACCCAATATCCCTGAATTTCTAAGTGTTATCTTAGTGTTAACCTGGTTTCATCTAATTGATACCACATCAGAGGAGATTTTTAAAACATGTCCCTCCTTAATACATCATCATACTTTCAGAGGTGGAAAGGTACAACTTAAAGTTCTCTACAACTTTTGCCCATTCTCAAGAATTTGATACAGTGTTATTATAGCATGTAGGATAATGTAGGTGCCCTAAGTATTCAATGAATTGAAATAAAGCAAATTTCCAGAGTTTGGGACTTGCTGGTAGTGTACAACTTGTCTGTCAGGAAGTCTCATCTCTGGGTGAAATATATATATTCCTGGATCAATGACTGAGAAGTTAAGGCCACCTGCTAAAGAAGTCAGACTGTTCCCAAATTGTCAGGTAACAGTTTGATCTTTTCTATTAGATTAAAATTTCTTCATGGATGGGACCAGATCTCCTATTTTCATGTATCTTCTAAGGCACCTACTAAATGTTAGGCAGAGATATACGCTCAAGGAAATAATCATTGATGGGGGCAGGAAATGAATCAAGGGTGAATGTGGTCACAGAAAAGCCATCCCTTACTTCACCCCATTACTCAAACAGCAATCAGTGAGTGAATCTCTAATGTTGTGCTGAAGAACAGACTCATGCCCCCTACCATTTTTGTCTTCAAGAGAACAAATCACTGGGTTTGAACAACCTTTTTATTTTTCTTTCCCTTTGGAGACTGATTATACGTGGTAATGAGTACTTCTTGATGGATGGTATGTGGAAAAAAGGGTGTTGTTTTTTTGTTTTTTTTTGCCTCAGAGAAAGCACCAACCTGTCACATGTCACATTTTAACTTCAGCAATTTATGGAATCATTAACTTTAAAAATTGTTAAATGTTATCTGTAACTAACAGATATTTAAAATGTTAGTTTTACTATGAAATCACTTAAAATCCATTTTGCTTTCAAACATTGGTATGAGGTAGAAGATAAGGAATTCACAAAAGAAAATAATCTTTATCACAACAAGACTATTCAGGACAATTAGCCCCCAAAGAAAAGTTAAAGCCTTAAACTGGTAAATTATTGACTACTGTCAAAATATTACCCTATTTGAAGGAAATTTCTTATATTTGAAATTGCCTTTCTTTTTCCAGTTTAAGGTATTATAGAAAAAGAACACCATACAATCTGAAATACTCAGAAAGATTGAATAAAACAGCTTCTCTTAGTCATCATCTTTACCATGTTGTTCTAAATCACCTCAGTTGTGACACAAGTCCTTTCCACTTAAATTATTGGTAAGATATCAACAAGGAGGTTAAAAACCCTTCCAGTATAAGAAGCAAGATAAAAGGAATGTTTCTCACTTAAAATAACGTAATTTACTCCTCATAAAAACTAGCAGCACTTCATTCTAGCAGGACACACAAATTTGGCTTCACTGACTGGTTAGGAACACAGGAAAATGTATATATAGCTCTTTACATGGGGAGAATGTGAGGCTACAACAAGTTTATTTTTTTAAACAATTACCTATATCCCCATTAGGTAGTGTGTGAAACTACTGGAATGTCAATTTCAATGGCAGAGAGGCGGGATCGAGCTGAATAGGGCTGGGAGTAAGTGTGCATACTGGGAGGATGGGAGTACAATGGCTGCCAGAAAGGAGAAGGCAAAGATTTGCATGCACAATACCAAATGAACAGTAGAAGGGAAGTCATAAAAAGACCTCCAGCACTAGCGATGGTGACATATACCGCATAGTCAAATGTAAAGACTGGCTCAAACTTCTTGTTCAGATGGATGTTATAAAAGATGACCCAGATGGATGGAGAGAGGCTCACATTACCTGCCATAAAAAACAGCAGCCCAGCCACCAGGTGGCAGCCTGCACTATTGACCAGACACTTGGCCAGTTTGATGTTAGGCACAGAGGACCTAAAGGCTGTATTACACATTCCAATCAGGCAGAGCAGCAAGGCACCCATTGCAATCAGGATGCTGAGGGGCAGGGCAAACTGGAGGACACGCAAGTCCAACTGGTCAACTGATGAGTACCATGTAGGGTCGTACATCAGGCAGTCACTGCTTCCGTCGTACCGGGCACATTTCACCCACAGGCCTGTGTAAACAGTCAGGTTCTTCTCATTTCTGTTGAATGTAATCAGTCGTAATTTTCTCCAGTTGGGAAGCAGAGTCCCTGCAAAGAGGCCCGCTACTGAGGCGATCCCACATAGAAAGGAGAGGACTGTGGCTGCGTGGACATCCCGACAGCCCATGGCAGGCAGGCTTGTGCAGTACTTTCAATCAGACTAGGGGGTGACACACAAGAAGACAAAGCATGAGGGGAGAAAAGCAGATTACAGCAGGAAAGGTGGTACCAATTAGCAACACATCTATTGAGGAAATGTTGATGCTAAAAGGGAAATTCCTTTGTTTGTTCTCTATACAATATAAATGTATAAATGCATATATGTAACATGTGTGTGACCTCAGAGTTCAGGTGCAAACACATATGCTTGGTTTCCATTGACTATATACTATAAAATATTTAGTCATCAGTATTTTTCTTCACTGTTACTCAGAGGAAGAACCAAAATAATGTCAAATTATCTTAACATCACACCTAAAATTCTCCTGGTTGTCAATAATCACGCATTCAACACACAAATATCAACCATTTTTAGGTATCAGGCACTCAAACATATAATAAGGGTTAGAACACTCATCAGCTATCAATTAACTGCAAACACTACAAATTGAACCTCAAATGCTCATGCTAGTATAAAAGGAGACCAGCATAAAGCAAAGATGAAAGCAGCTCATAAAAGGCAAAGGCATGAGGAAAAAAGCAATATAGGACAGCAGAGTGGGTGGGAGCTGCCTCTGAACCAGAATGCTTGGTTCTCATCCCCATCTCCTCACACTTACTAGCCAATTAACCTTGGGCCAGCTCCAGAACTCTCCTGTGCCTCATATCCATCTGTAAATTGACGAAGAAGATAATAGTGTCTACCTCACATGGTTGTTCAAAGAGATAATATAACATCAAGTACTTAAAACATATCTGGGGCAATGTGCTATGCAAATGTTTACTTCTTAACATTTGGAGATCAGCTCAGTGCTTGCAATCTGAAGAAGTTCAAAGAACATTTGTTGAATGAATGTTAAACAAGAAGAAGCAAGCTCATCTCATTTCTACATATTGAGTACACTGGGGAATTATTAAAAGTAAATGGACTCATCTTCAATGAGTTAGTCAAATGAAAAGACAAGAACAAGGGTCTCTAAAATTATCCTGCTCAACTACTTCCAGGATGATTCAACAAGACCCAAGTGCTCTCAGAGAACTCTACAGCACTTGTTGGTCATTATACTATTACTGTTCATACAAGATGAATGCAAAGATCTTTGAAGTAATGACAACCTGTCTCTATTTCTGCTATTGTAAGAAAAACTGTACTTTGCCTTTTTCAACCCAAATTAAAAATCTGTTTTCTGTATATAATAAACTATAAGCTAGCATTTTATTCAAACTACTTTAATAAGGTAGCACATTTACTTTTATAGATTAGAGCACAATGAAGGAATAAAGGTTGAAAATAATTTTTATTTCTGGTACAGTATGGGTGTTTACAAAATCCATTGTCTTTTGAAGGATCAAATATGATCTACAGAGATGGTGGAGTAGCATTCCCAGGAGGTCAGGGTCGAAAAGACAACTATGACCAAACTGCTAACAAACTGGATTAGAATATGATTGTTATGTTCCAGTGGGAGGACACAATGTTCTTTAGAAAACGTTAGCTACCTATTTAATCCAACCTATGAATTAGAAGTAATTTTAATAAAACTTATATGCCTATATGTACATATGTATGTTTGAAGTATATGTGTGTGTGTGTGTGTGTGTGTGTGTATATATATATATATACACACACACACACAAGTATACAAATAAAAGCAGAGTTTAAGCTAATGATCTCAAATTAAAGATGGTTAGTTCTAAGTTTTTGTATGGATATTAGGTTGCTACTGATTTATTATGTTACCTGCCAGTATTATCAGAAGTTGCAACTGTTTAAGAAAGTTTTATGGATGAAAAGACAAAGGAATTACTTCTTCATGCAAACTGGAAGAAAGTTGTCTTGTTTAATTTTAGCAAGCAAAACCTTTCCAGCCTTGAAAACACTAGTGCAGCTTTGAGAATGTTTATATCCGGAAGATAATAATAATGTCACACTCCAAAATTCAGCCTCCTGTTGGTTTTTGTTCATTCATCTGTCTCCCCCATATATTGTGAGCAGTTTGTACAATGCCTGGCATATAAGTTTTCTAGGAATATTTGAATAAATGAATACTGGGCCCTGTACCAAACCATAATAACTCACAAAGGTGGGCCACAGGTAATGTACAACTAAACAAGAGAACAGCTATGAGTAAGCAATCATTCATTCAATGAGTATTTATGTTGTGCTGAGTATTTTGCATATACAAAACTCTTTTAGGTCCTGGAAGAACACTGAGACCACTCAGAGTTGGACCTTGCATCTAATGTGTTAACAGTCAAAAAGATTACGTTGTTTAATGCTACGTTAAATGCTGATGTGAATCAATTTTAAGAATACTACACGTTAAGTGATTATTATAGGTACTAAGTGAAGTAATAAGATATATGTTCCTAAAAATTTACCATCCAGGGTTACAGAAAGATTGAGAATGAAGGAGAATAAAGATTTGATCAATGTTGTGAACACATAAGAAAAAGGTTCCCTCTGTTTCTTTCAAAGCTTCAAAATAACCCACTTAAAGTTCTAACCTAGTCACAATTCCTTCTTCCTTCCAGAGGCAGGGAATGTAATTGAGATTTGTCTATAAACTGCAATCCAAAGGCAATGAGAAACAAGATCAGGATAAATAACTATTATTATAAATTCATTCCTGTAATTCCCAGCCTACAGACTGTCAAACAACATTAAGGAACTGACGTAGGCCAATATTTATTTTAGTATTAAAATGTGTTTAACTAGATCCTACAACAAATCAATAAAAGTATTACATTAGTCCTCTGAACCTGCTGTTGATGAAGCATTCTTAATTCAGGTTTTGGAACTAACTGAAAGTTTTATTTATAGAGAGTCAACAAAGACTAACTATGGCATTTTTTTCTAGAAGGAGAATACTATTAACATCAATTCGTAAGCTAAACCCTTGTGCTGAAATTAATGTCTAGCTCCTTATAACTTCCTTAGGTAACTTACTTTTTATGCCCAATTATTAATTCCACATACATATGATTTGATAAGTCCTATATCCCTCAAGAGGGATAACACCTAATAGCTGGGGAAGGAATATGTTTAGTGTTTTAAAACTGAAAGATAATACTGACTTCCAGATTAGAATATGTTCATACTTGAGAGAGTAAAAAGATCTCTACTTGTTAGTGTATTAAGAGAATTAATTATGTAATTGTTTTCAAAAATAAAACATCATGTTACTCCATTTCTTCACATTCAATAGCTTCCCATTTCCAACAGAACAGTTTCCAAAGTTTTAAAACTTACCCACAATTTAAACCACCTAATTGTTGCCTGAATTTTCAAGCTTCTTTATGAACTGCTCTCCCACCTATACTCTAGTCTTTATAGCCACATTGCTTTTCTTTTTAACTTCCCAAATTTTCCACATTCTAATTTGGTTACAGACTTTCCCACATGCTACTCTTCCTGGAACTTTCTTAATCCCATCCACCATATTCTTTGTTTAGTTAACATTACCCTAAACGCTCCCATTCCTTCTCCTTATTTGGGTATTCTTCTTTCCCACCAGAGTATGAATTTCAGGGCAGAAATACCTACGTTTTATTAGGTTAAACATTAGCACATAGAAAGCATTCTCTTATTTATTGAATGAGTGAGAGCAAACAGAGGATCCATGCCTGGATACTGAAAAAGTTACAAATTTACTTTACTGGCAGTTGCATTCACTTTATTGGGAACAATTCATTCCATCCTGTGCTCTGAAGCTTCCAAGCTGTTTCTTGACTGTGCCTCTGCTTTAGCAAAACTGATGAGCTCTCATGCCATGGGTGACAGTTTTGAATAGGGTCTTGTATACAGACATGTGGGTTTATTGTTTCTATCTGGGAGGCAGGATGGCAAAGACCCCAATACCAGTCCTAACCTGTCATTTACAAACTGAGCAAGTTACCTATGTCCTCTGAACTTGAAATTTCTAATCAGTAAAATGTCCCATAAGGTAGTTGTGAGTTGGTGAACAGTAAAACCCTTTGAAAACCAGAATAGTCAGAAATTTAAGGCTGTAATAATTAGTAGTAGGATTATTTACTTTTTAAGGAAAGAATATGCTTTTAATCTGGATTCTCAGCAAACAACCATAGATGAGTACACTGATCTAGCAATAATGACAACACATTCTCTTTGGAGTAGTTACTGACCAAATAAAATACACTGTTTCAAAACAACCATTTCACATTTGTCTTTTGACTATCTGTTCCACAGTGATTTTCAGAGAAGTAGATGGATAAAATCTGATACATAATTAAGTACAATCAAAGATATAATTTTGAATAAAAACATTTTCAAACGTTATCTTTTCTGTGGTTTTGAACAGAGTTCAAAGAAGACTGGAGCAAAAATAGTGGCTAAGAGCTTTAGGAATTCACAAACCCATCATAATTTTTTCAAGGACAATTCCGAGGAACAGCTAGCTATAAAAGACACATGTCTCATGGCAGCTAAATCAATTCTTTATGGGAACACTGGCAGTCCTTTCTACCTGTAATCTGGGTTTTCTTAGAAGCAATAAGTCATCAATCTTTGCACTCACAAGGCTGTCCTATGCCTTTATTTGGTTGAAGAAGAGGGGGAACAAAAGCATTATTATTAACTGAGCAGGAGGAAGGGAAATAAGATATAACCAAAGGATGTACTTACTCTTTGAGGTACCTGAAGTTCTAAAACAGCTTTAGTCAACTTAGAAGAAACCCATGTACATCTGAACACACAGTAGAGATGATTTGGGCCTAGGAAACAGGAAAAATGCCCCCAAATAAATATAAAACTTTTCTAAAAACTCACTTTGAATTCATATGAAATTAGAAAAAATAATTAGCAATCACCCAAAATGAATGAAATGTTAAGCCAAAAAGGCAGTTTAGGATTGGGAATGTAGCTTAGTGGTAGAATGCCTATATAGTATATGCAATGCCCTGGGTTCAATCTTCAGCATTGGTTTAAAAGGACCAAAAAAAAAAAAAAAAGGTCAGACTATTCTTAAATTCATAAATTGTTTGATAAAGAAATAACTCTCAAATAATCTGAGAAGGATACAAATCACTTTAGTGCCTTGGAAACATGATCAATGTTTAATACAATTTTACATCCTTCTCATATGACTACAGTGAAAAGAGGATGAGGAAATACTCTGTAGTTTTATTAGAAGCAAAAGAAATACACTGTTTTAAAAGGATACCACAACAAAACTAGGTAAAGCTGATCTGAATAGTACATCCTAAAATTTGCAATTTGCAACTAGAATGCTTCTACAACTTTTAGTTTATAGTTCCACTGGTGGTTCAATTTGCCATTCTAGGATATTTCCATATATCTATTTTAACAATCAGCAATGTCTTCTTCGAATACTATTTATCTCAAACAGGCAGGATAAGAATGAAAACTTAAGGCTTGTTTCACGAGCCTTAAGGCATTGATTTCAATCAAGTGTCCCCTTCCCCCATCTATAAGTCTTTGAATTGTTAACAAGCATAACTGCTTACTCCAAAGTCAGAGGAAATCGTTTTATAATAACACACAACTGGATCACTGATCAATCACTTTAAGCGAGTACACCACATTTGGTCGTTCTCTAACGTGATGCCTGGTCCCTTCAAAGACCAAACACAGAACCAGAGCTTTGGAGAAATGCAAATCAAGCTCCCGGGGCAACTGCCTCCCCCGTCCTTCCCCTGAGTTGTGTCATTAGGAAGCCCAGAGCTGGCAGAAAGGAAAAAGCCGGGTGGGGGTGAGTAATCCTCCTAGTTAGAGCCAATGGAAAGAGACCGCAACTGTGATGACTGAGGACGTTCTCAGAGCAAGCCCATCCCTGCAACACTGAGTGAGTTTGAACCGCGAGCAGGTCATGATTACACAACCAGCATCAGCTGGTTTTTCAAAAATAGCAACTTGCAGCTCCGCACCGCACACCCCAGCCAGTCTAGCTCCAAGCCCTTAGCTTCTCCAGCAGCAGTATTTCCATACTCCTCCGTACAAAACAACATTTTAAAGCTGTATCAAATACCTCATTCGATTTTCACCTCCAAAAGTGTGGACAACGTTTTCCAATGTCCCTGATTTCCTTCGACTTAGTTGTTTTACATAAAACCCCCAACTACTTATGCAAAAGACTCTGAAATTGGAACATTCTTGACCACACCTACCTGTTCCTCACAGCCAGGGCATTTCACTCGCCCACACGGAGGAGCCTCTTGGAACGTCTCCCTCTCCGCGTCCCCGGAAGTGCGTTCCCAGGGAAGAAGCAGCCCCGGAGGCTTCTGGGAATGCAGGCAGGTTCTCCCGCAGCCGGGCGCAGGCTTGCCCTGGACACCTGGGACTACAACGCCCAGGATGCACTGGGCCGCCGGCCTTAGGCAACATACCCCGCCTCCCTTGAGTTCTCTAGTAGCTGGTTTCTCTCTGGATTTAGGTTATGGATTTAAAAACACAAGCGCGCCCAAGCGCGCTACACCAGACAAAACTGAGAATCGTTGTTAGTACCCAAGCCAGTATTTCCTATTAAATATGACTTGCACGTAGAAGGGTAGCAAAAATTCCTAAATCCGGAGACCCTCCTCCCCACCCCCGCCACCAAGTATTTATCTAGGCACAAAGCGGAAAGAGTTACAACTCTAGAATCACCCAGCCTGGGTTTGCATTGGGCTCTGGTGTACGTGGGTTGAGTGATCCTGGGAAAGTTACCTCTTTAGTTATTTGAGTTAGCTGTGAAAATGATAATATTACCTACGTCATACTGTTGTCTTGGAAATTAAAAGACTAGTTATTGTGTGCACGTACAAATATGTAACAAATCCCAACATTATGTACAACTATAATGCACCAATAAAAATTTGGGAAATAAAAGGGAGACTCAATATATTTTAAGTATCATGTCTCTAGCTATTTCTTAGATATTTAAAATAATAGCACTGTCCTACAAAATTTCAACTGTTCCATTTTGTTGTTGTTGTTGTTGTTGGATTCTCTTTAAGTGTAAAGTCCTGTATTGGTAAGTATCTGAATTTAAACTAAATGATTCCTGTATAGCATTGATCTTATTATTTTTGAAGAAAAAGTTTGAAGTTTTAGATTCTACTACTTTCAAATGATCTCCCCCTCCTTTCAAACACACACACACACACACACACACACAGAAAATGTGGCAAATGTTGGCAGTTGAATCAAAGGAGAGTAAGAATATGGGTATTCATTGCACTATTTTTTCAAGTTCTCTGCAGCTTTGAAATTTTTCAAAATATAAAGGAGGAAAAGATCATGTTCTCTGTGTGTGTGCATGTGTGTGTTAAGAACAACTGCTATGAGATCTACTCTCAACAAATATTAAATTACACAATATCATATAATTGCTTTGTATGTTATAGACACACCTCTAGAACGTGTTCATCTAATATAACTAAAACTTTACACCCATTAAGCAGGAACTCTCCAGTTACTCTACTCCCCACTCCCTGGCAACAATCATTTTATTCCTTGTTTTTTTGTTTGACTACTCTAGATACTTTATGTAAGTGGAATCACACAGTATTGATCTTTCTGTGACTGGCTTATTTCATTTAGAATGATATCCCTTCTTGTACCCCCCCCCAAAAAAAAATTATGTTCTACACCAAAATAAAGAAATGCACCCATCCCTTTACCACTCTAACCCTTTATGACCTTGGGTAAATTAAGTAAACTCTTTGCACCTTAGGAGTCTCCTTTGTAGTAATAGTACAGCTACATAAGAAAATCAAGATAAGGACTAATATTCATAGAGAATATACAGAAGTTTACAACAGTCCAACACATAATAAGGACTGATTCCCATTAGCATTTTCCATTTTGTGTTGCTCTCCTAACACAAAATGGGATTGTTATTCATAGAAAAAGAAGAAAAGGCCATTATCTGTCCACTGCCAGCTCCTTCTCATTTGCCATACTGTTTCACAGAATGAATAAAGTTATCTAAGTCCAGAAGCACTTCAATTCTGAAACCAGACTGAGAATTTTATCAATGAGGAAGAAAGCATTAAGTAGTGTATGTAAAGATCTCTGGATGATGCTCTGAACTCCATGCCTGCTCTGGCAATAGCAGATGGATGAATGACTTCTTATACCTCAGAATGCAATCTGATTTGGACATAGGGTCTTGAGGTAATCACATTAAAGTGAGGTTCTTAGGTTATACCCTAATCTAGTGACTAATATTCTTTTAAAAAGGAAATTTGTAGGAGCTAGGCCTGTAGCTCCGTGGTAGAGCGCTTGCCTTGCAAGTGTGAGACACTGGGTTTGACCCTCAGCACCACATAAAAATAATGTGCCCATCTACAACTGAAAAAAAAAAAAAGTCACCCATATCATAGGCATATACATTAAAAAAAAAAGAAATTTGGAGACAACCAGCAAAGGGAGACTATACTGTAGAGGTGAGGCAGAGATTGGAGTGATATGTCAGCACACCATCAGTCACTAGGCTCAAGGTATTCAACAGCTTCTCTCACAGCCCTTAGAAGCACCCAGCCTTGCAAGCACCTTCATCTCAGACTCCTAGCCTCCTGAGCTGAGACAATAAATTTTTGTGGTGTTTGAGTCCTCAGTTTGTGGTATTTTATTATGGTAGCCCCAGGAATAAGGAAAGATAAAAAAGTTCTGAATAATTTTAACAGTGAGCAATAGCTTAAAAACTGTTTGGTGGGGCTGGGGATATAACTCATCAGCAGAGCACTTGCCTAGCACATGCCAGGCACTGGGCTTGATCTCCAGTACACCAATACAAAGAACATCATTGAAAATTGTTAGGTAATTGAGCTATAGTCTCAAGCTACTCAGGAGGCTGAGCAAGAGGATTACTTGAGTCCAGGAGTTTTAAGCCAGCCTGGGCAACATAGTGAAACCCTGTCTCAATTAAAAAAAAATGCTGTTCTTGATGCTTGCTTATAAGATAAATCAATGCACCCATATATTTTTTAAAAAACTGCTAGGAATTATCAGTATACTACTGATTGGGTAAGATCATGGCACATTTGTTTCTGTCTTCTTTAATAAAATTACTAGTGAGGAGAGAAGAAAGAAAGGAGACTGTACAACAAGACTTTCCTATATTTAGGATAATTGAAGGCATTTGCCTGTAATTGTTTTCAAGCATTTAAAAACTTTAGCTTTTACTACACCTACCATCACTGTTTTTTCCGAGTTTTAAAAGCGAAACCTCTGTTAAACTTTTGAAGAAATGTGTTATAAATTTGGCATTAAAATATTAATGGTTCTTTGAGGCAGATCAGCTTTTCTGGTTCATACTTTAGTAAAGACCATGTGTGCTCATTATTTTGTTCTTACCGTTTCTCTTGACCTGAAATGGTACCACTTCCAGGAAAGATTTGTTTTTGAAACTGAGGATCCATCATTATATAGTACTGTTATTTCCCCATTAGGATTCAGTTGACCAGGGACTTTTATTTACTCTGCTCATTTAATCATGTTTCCAATCTACCCAAAGTCATAAGCTTTTGCTTAACATCTGTCCTTGATCTAAAATATTCTTCATCTCTCTCAATTTGCAGCAAGCCATATACAAATAAAATGAAGGTATATTTTAGCTTTATTAACTGTCCTTTTTCTTAATATAAAATTAAAAGAAAATTATGACGCTCTTCTTTATATAGCCTTTTATGTAGAAATAAAACTAGTAATAAATATTTGATAACCAACAAAAAATTAAGACATTGGTCAGACAATATTGGCAATTTCAGAAAAACATATTGGGATATGGGCCATGAACAAGGAAGCTTTTGTCCTTTGCTTTCAACTTTAAATGCACTCAGAGTTTACAAAGTAAACAGGAAAAAACTACTTTGTCATATGTTGTCTAAAAATTAGTTATAATATAAACTACATATCCTGTTCTTCAAATTCCAAGTATTTCAAAGGACATGATTCACATAAGAGCTACGCTTCACAGAACTTGGTATCTGGGCATCCCAAAGAATTTAATATCTATTATGAACAATTTAATAATATGTACAAAGGTCATTACTTCCTCCAAAGTCTTCAAGTACCAACAACTATTAAATAAGCAACTGTCATATGGTGAAAAGCAAAACATCCCTAAAAACCAGAATGGCTTAATATGTAATAGTTAAAATTGCCTCTGGCTTTTTTATTCTTAGTATAATTGACTGAGAGGAAATGATCCCACTTGTTAATCCTGAGTTGTCCACAGGGACATACTATAACTTTCCATTCAAATTTCTCTTTCTGTCCTCTGCCCTTTTCTCATTTCTATCATCTATTTGTTTTTATTTTCTTTCAGTTGACTTTGGTCAAAAAGATTTCCCTTAATACTTTCAACTTGCCAAGCTCCAATCAGAATATAAGAGATATGAAATATCTAAGGAAAAATAGCTGTTTATTTTTAATTATTACAGTAAAAATTATAGCATGTTGTCGACACTTTTTGTCAGTATGTTCATCTCACTGGCTTAATTCCCAAATTATAAAATTTTGTAAGCAAAGACTATAATTTTTTCTAATTCCCTTTAAAAAGCTATCAAATATTTTAGACTCTTAAAAATTTTTTTAAAAATCTTCATACATGTACCCCCCCAAATTTAAAAAATAAATAACCAGGAATTAAGTGAATTAATATATGCAATGTTCAGCACAGTACCAAGTCTATGATAACACTATCTTGTTAGATATTATAATTACCAGCACAGTCCATGTACTTTAACAAAATTTCTGAGTTTGTTCCACCTGTTCTGTCTCTTCTGCGAGAGACAGATTTAAACTAAATTTGATATACTTTTAAGGATTTAAAAATATAAATTCAATTCATTATTTGGTCTTTAAACAAAATGTTGACATACTTTGGCAAAACATGTCTTTTGTGTATTTATATTATTGCTAATTTTCATTTTAAATTGTAATTTTTACGTGAACTTGTGCTAGTGCTTTGAAACATTTTTTAAATATACCTGCATGAATGTTGAGTGGAATTTACCTTTGTTAACTGAGTTTTTAATCTGAATTTTGCAAACTCTGAACTGCTTAGAAAATACATGGGTTTATGCAAATTTTTTAGCTAGAAATAAATCTGTAGTTTTCATTAACTACCTCAAAGGAATCTCTGTCTACCTCAGAGAAATCTCTGTTCACCATTTTTGCAAAGCAAATCAGCACTGGGCTGAAAAGAAACATAACTTTATTAAAAAACTAATTATATATAACCTGAAGTAAAATACCCTTGACCTAATTTATCCTACTATATAAGCAGGCTTTCCCCCTGATTATTTAACTAATATAGGTTTACCATTTAAAAGAAAATAAAATTGGGTGTAGTGGTACGGTCAAAATCTCAAATTCTTGGGAAACTAAGGCAGGAATATGAGATAATGTAAATTAAGATTTAGCTGTGATTATGTTTACCACTGTGATTTAGTTTACCACTGAGCCATATCCCCCGCCCTTTTATTTAATTAATTCTTTACAAAAGGATGAATAGCCATATATAGTCTTTACTAAGCATTAAATTCCAGAATCATTTCTAATAATTAAAAAGTGGCACTGAAGAAAAACATGAGGAAACTTGTGGGGGAAATGGATAGATATGTTTATTATCTTGATTGTCTCAATGGTTTCACAGGTATCAAAACTTATCTAAACATGTCACTGCCAGGTGCCAATTTATACTTCAATAAAGCTGTTAAATATGAAAAAAAGTGGCACTGAAGAACTTTTTCAAAGCTCATGAACTTGTTACTACTTTGTCAAAAAGTAAGAGTTGGAGAAAATTTACATAATAAGCTCATCTGGGTAAAAAATATATGCATAAAAATATCTACAAGAACACAAAACTATTAACAGTGGTCTTCTCTGTGCCTCATGCAGGAAGAAGGGAATGGTTTTTACTTTATATGCTTTTGTACTGTTTGAGTTATTTTATAATAGATATACACATTTATGTACAGAATACATAATTTTTTTTTAGAATATAGTTTTTTTTTTTTTTAAAGAGAGAGAGAGAGAGAGAATTTTTCTAATATTTATTTTTTAGTTTTCGGCGGACACAACATCTTTGTTTGTATGTGGTGCTGAGGATGGAACCCAGGCCACAAGCGCGCTACTGGATGAGCCACATCCCCAGCCCCCATAAATTGTTTACATAATAAAATTCACTTAAAGGAAAAATTTCTATTTGTAAGTATTTTTGAAATACTCAAGCAGAAATTAGAAATTATAAACTCTTAAAAATTGCTAATGTTGTTTGAAGTTTATATTTCCTAGTTATTCTCTTTACTAAAATTTGAAAGTGGATAATGAAACAGGGAAGGACATAAGAAAATGAGACAGAGCAATCCCCTCCAAAGCAGGAAAATACTACACTTCATAAAAAAAATCTGTAAAAAAAACTTGTAAAAGCTCAAGTCACATATTATTGGTGACTGTCAATATCACTGAACATATATTCAAATTTAAGGTTTTGAGATTTTACACAAGACAACAATTTTTGAAGCAAGCAGGTAGATGACAGATCCAAAAACAAAGAAGTAAACTCATTCTAATAATCATTTAGGGAATCCTATATGATTAAAAAAAATCTCAATAGGAAAATCCTAAGTAAGGAATATGGTGGACTGGCCATTAATTTGTAAAATGCAATTTTTAGCTCTCAGCTAATATTTTTACTAGTGGTAGACTTAACTATAAAACGATAACTTAAAAAGGTATAGTTTTTGAGTGATGGCAAATATATCAGAAGGTCAGTAATAATACTAAAAAAAAGAGTGGCAAAGCTTTCAAATTAATACCATTTCATTAACATTTTTAAAACTGACATAGACATATAAGAATTATACGTATTTATCATGTATAGCATGGTTTTTAGGGGGGGAGTGGGACAGTACCAGGGATTGAACTAAAAGGCACTCAACTACTGAGCCACATCCCCAGCCCTATTTTTTGTATTTTATTTAGAGACAGGGTCTCACTGAGTTGTTTAGTGCCTTTTTCCTGAGGCTGGCTTTGAACTCATGATCCTCCAATCTCACCCTTCCAAGCCACTGAGATTACAGGTGTGCGCCACAGTGCCCAGCATAGCATGACATTTTCAAATATGTATACACTGTGGAATGGCTCAATGAAGCTAATTAACATATTTCTTTTTTTATAATGAGAACACTTAAAACCTACTTTCTTACTAATTTTTCAAACAGGATATATTATAACAACTATGGACACCAAGTTGTACAAATCTCTTCATATTAATTGAAATTTATAACATCTCCTTAACCTCTGTCTCCCCATCCCCTGGTAGCCACCATTGTACTCTGGAACTCCAGTTTTTTAGATTCCATATATAAGTGATAACACATAAATTTGACTTTTTGTGCCTGGCTTATTTCCCTTAATGTAATGTATTGCAGATTCATCCATGTTTTCATAAATGACATGATTTCCTTCTTTATTGGGATACAATAGTATTCCATTAATACTATTTTTACTAGAGTTATATTATATTCTTCCTGGAACTAGTGACGACATGCGTTGATGGTGGCTTACTGTAAGATATTGTATTAGAAACCCTTAAATTAAGCAACTGTTTCTTAAAATGTGCATCATTTTCCTGGTTGGCATGTTCATCCAGTGATTTTCTTATACAGTTTTTTAATTCTTCAATTCCTTCTCCAGTAATTGCAGAGATGGGGATGATATGCTGGAACTCCATATTCCTCTCTGGAATCATTTGTTTTTCAACTAAATGCAGGAAATCTGAAACAAAGAACATAGAGCTAAGATGATAGTCACTGTCTTTGAGAGTAAATCAAAACTATGTTAGAGATTTGATTTGTGAAGCTGGGAACCAAAAACTTAGTATTTTAAATTCCCTATTCCCCTTCTCTAATAAGTTCTCAGAAGTCTTTGAATTTTACTTATGACAATGGTTAATGTTTTGGCACATGTTAGGTATTTAGTAAATACTTGTTGGATGAATATATTTTCAATCAAACTAAGAATAAATAAATAAAAGATAAACAATGAACACAATACATTTATGGGAGTAATAAAATTTCCTTTTGTGGGGGAATCAATAAAGTGAAGCAAGAGAGATACTTGAAAGTTTCTGTAAAAATAATAACATCATTTCGATAATATGATATTCTAGCTGGCCTTTACTGCACAGGTGACCTTTCTCTTTCTTAAAGTATAAGTTTATCATCACTGAAGCTAGGATTCATACTTAAGCTGAAGAAGAAATAGGGAAAGTTCAAGGGATAATTTCAGATTAGTTGAATTGATTACCCTCAGGGGCTAATAGATCTTATGTCACTTTTTCCTTTTCCCTGCCAATGGGAAATGGCAAACAGCACACTGATTGGATGGGTTAACAACATGAACCAGGAGTGTTAAACTGAAAGAGACTGGACAAGCCAACATGGAGTTTGGTTTCTGAGATTCCCAGGCCTCTACGAAAGACCAGAGATACCAATTCAAGAATTATACTGGGAGCTGGGGATGTGGCTCAAGTGGTAGCGCGCTTGCCTGGCGTGCGTGCGGCGCAGGTTCGATCCTCAGCACCACATACAAACAAAGATGCTGTGTCCGCCGAAAACTAAAAAATAAATATTAAAATTCTCTCTCTCTCTTTCTCTCTTTCTCTCTCTCTCTTTAATAAAAAAAAAAAAAGAATTATACTGGTCCACCAAAAACAAACAAACAAAAACTATGATGGTCCAGAATAGCTACAAACTCTTGAATCACCCTAACTTCTGGTAAAACCCCTGAAAATTCCCTTTTCTGTAAGACTAACTAGAAAACAGAACTAATGACCTTATAAAGCAAATGACATTAAGGAATAAAGACATTTAATAACATTAGGGAATATTTATATCTTAAAGATTACTTATTAACTCAAGGATAGCTCTAACATGTAAATTAGAAAAAAAATTTTTTTTGAGAAGAGAAAGGACTTTCTAGTACTGTCTGCTAGTTCTAATATACTATGATCTATTATTCCCAATTGTTATTTCAAAGATTAAAAACTCAGACAAATTAATACCATTCAAAAATATGTTAGCCACTTACCATGCACCTTACTTCCCCTCACTTGTTCCTCTATAGGACTCAGAAAATTGAAACTATCATCACCATAGGATACAGGTGTTCTACAAAGGTCAACATTTAAAACTGTGGAAAGTACCTTTAAATTCCTTTACACAAAGTGGTCTGTTTAGAAAATTTCAAACAAATCCTTTTAGAGTAACAGTATCTATTTTTCTGTGTCACCCATACAATACTCAAGTTCTTTTTAGAAGACCAATACTCCTCAGAGATCTAAGGAGGTACTATTTCAGAACAACATACCTTTTCAGAACTATTGGCTCTGTTCTTGAATTTAGGGCATATTAGGGGAAAGAAGTTCTAGACCTTGTGAAATATATTCTAGACCTTGTGAAAGATTTCACAGGTAAATGTTAATTTTATTCACCCTTTTAAATTCCCATTCACTATTTAAATGAACAGTTTAAATTTTACTTTTCATAAAGGCTGACATTTTTAGATCAAATTAATCCTTTTCTTTTGTCTCTTCTAACTTGTCCATATCACACATTCTGGAACTTGATAATGACTATTAAAATATTATTTAATATGTCATGTGGTATATTTTTTCTTCAAATATACAGTTTTTAAGAGTAGAAACTAACACTTAACATTCTCTACAAATAATAAGGACTTATTAAATTGGAATTAAGTTAATGAGAGGACTTGCCTTTAGGATTCTGGAGTTGGTTCATCAATTCATGAAACTTATTTTGGGCATCTGGCAAATCCATTTTATTAACTGCCAGGAGTGCAGGTTTTTTCTGAAGTTCTTCATTGTACAACTCCAACTCCTTTAAATCACAAGAGAAAAAACCACATACCTTTATAACAGTATTTATATAAATTATTTGATAATGTATTTTTTTAATGACCTAGGAAATCTGAAGCCCATTCACATCACTGAAATGCAATAAATCCCAACAACCATAAAACAAAGTAATTCAAAAATTGTTTCTGGTTATGTCATGTAATAGTACGTGTTAGCTCATACGATTTCTTATAGACAGCTAATGAGTGTCTATAGCCAGGTATAGGCATCTGGCCTTCACAGAGATAAAAATTCATAAAGTCAATGACAATTTTAAATGTTACATCTGATTATTCCTAGAAAAAGTAAATATACTTAGAAATAAATCTTTGTGACTTGCTTTAGATAATACTTTCTTAGATATTAAGAACTTTGTTGTTTTGCTATTGAGTTGTATTCTTAATATATATTGTTGTTTTCTTCTTATTTTTTTTTAAGATGGGGTCTTGCTATGAGGCTAGGCTAGCCTCAAACTCAAAATCCTTCTGCTCCAGTCTCCCATGTAGCTGGGATTATAAGGACCACTATGCCCAGCTGAATTCTGATATTTTACATACTAGCCTCTTATCAGCTATATGGTTCACAAATATTTTCTCCTATTGTTGTAAAGATTATCTCTTCATTTTGTTGATTATTTCCTTTGCTGTACAGGTTTTTAATTTGAGGCAATTCCATTTGTCTATTTTACTTTTGTTCACTGTGCTTTAGGGCTCGGATCCAAAATAATCATTGCTCAGACCACATTAAGAAAATTTTGCCCTGTATTTTCTTCTAAGAGATTTACAGTTTCAAGTCTAAACATTTATTAGGGGTATAACTCAGTGGTAGAGCAAGTGCTTAGAATGTGTGAGGCCCTGGGTTCAATCTCCAGAATAAAAAGAAAAAAATACTTATTTTAAGTCTTTAATCCATTTTGATTTGACTTTTTTTTTTTTTTTTTAACATGGGATGTGTACAATATAGGTCAAATTTCATTCTTCTGCAAGTGGATATTCAGTTTTCCAACATCATTTGTTAAAGAGATTGTCCTTTCTCCACTGTGTTCACAGCATCTTTGTCAAAGTTCAGTAGACTGTAAATGCGTGGATTTATTTCTAGACTGTTTATTCTGTTCCATTGGTTTATATGTCTGTTTTTAAATCAGTACCATGATGTTTTAATTAATATAACTTTGTAATAGGTCTTGAAATGAGGTAGTATAAAGCCTGTAGGCTTGTTCATTTTGTTCACAAATGCTTTAGTTATTCAGGGTCTTCGGTAATTCCTTATGAATTTTGTGATTTTTTCTATTTCTGTAAAAATGCTCCTGGAATTTTGATAGGAATTGTGTTGAATCCATAGCTCACTTTGGGTAGCGTATACTGGATTAAAATGGGCAATAGTTCTAAATAAAGACTCCTCAAAAGAAGACATACACATGACTAACAGGTACATGAAAAGTGATCAATATCATTAATTGTAAAAGCAAGGAAAATTAAAACTACAATAAGATATCACCTTATACCTATTAGAATGGCTACTATCAAAAAGACAAAAGAGCCACTGCTATTGAGGATGTGAAAAAAAAAAAAAAAAGGAACCGCTATACTCCGTTGGTGGGAATTTTAATTATTCTACCATTATGGAAGACAGTATGAAGGTTCCTCAAAAAATTAAAAACAGAAGTACCATATGACCCAGCAATCTCACCCCTGGGTACAAATCCCAAGAAAATGAAAACAGTATTAAAGAGACATCTATTCCCATGTTCACTGTAGCACTCACTATTCACAGTAGCTAATTAATAGAAACAAGGTGAAGAAGTATCCATCAATTGATGAACAGGTAATACAACATGTTACATAAATACATTGGAACACTATTCAGCCATATAAAAAGAATGAAATCCTGTCATTTGCAGCAATATAGAGATTATTATGTTCAGTAAAATAAGCCAAGTACAGAAAGACAAGCACTTCACTACCTACTCATATGTGAAATCTACAACACTTGATATCATACAAGTTCAAAGTAGAACATTTGATACCAGAGACTAGGGAGAATTGGGGTTGGGGGAAGCCTGATCAATGGATTCTAAGATAGTAGGAGTAAAAAGTTCTGGTGTGTTATACTGTACAGTAGGGTAAATACAGATAACAATAATGTACTGTACACTTTAAAACGGTAAAAGAAAGGATTCTGAAAGTTTTCATCATAGAGGAATGATAAATGTTTAATCTGATTTAAACATTTCATATATATACATGTACTGAACATTTATATGAAATCCCATTAAAATGTACAGTTTTTATATTTTTATGGATCAGTTAGAAAATAAATTTTAAAAAGTGGGCTAAGAATTTGAAAAGACATACAAATGGCTAAGAAACACATGAAAAAATGCTCAAAATCATTAATCATAAGGCAAATGCAAATCAAAACCATAGTGAAATAACATAGCACTCCCATTATGATAGTTAAAATAAAAACAATGGACAGGAACAAATGCTGACACTGATGTGGAACTATAAAATAGTGTAATGATACAACCCATGTGGAAATGAGTTTGGCAGTTCCTTAAAATGTTAAACAAAGAGTTGGTATCCAGCAACTTCACTCTTAGGTGTATATACGAGAAATGAAAACGTTTTCACAAAAATACATAATATGTTCCCAGCAACATTATTCTGTACAGATAAAAAATTAGCAAACAAAATCATTTTATAAAGTCCTGGAGGTAAGCAACATCTTGTTGTGTTAGAGACAAATCTTATGGTTAAAATCAGCATACACAAAAAGGGGAAAAGAAAGATATAAGAAAGGAGCAAAAACTTGCCAGACATCACAGAACATGCTTCTAATAGCAATAGGGGGCCATCAAAGTTTTTTAAGCAGGAAACAAATACATAAGCTTAGTTCTTTTACAAGATAACTCTGCATGCCGTATATAAAATGGACTGGAGAGAAACAAAACCGAAAGCAGGGGGAACAAACAGGACCAGATACAATATTCCGGTGAGAGGGGCTGATGATTATAAAAGTATGGCCAAAGGTACATGGATGGCTTTCAGAGAGATGTAAAACTGATAGAGCTTGATGTAGGTGGTTAAGAGGACAAAATCCAGAATACCACCCAGGTTTCTAGCTTACATAATAAAGTTCTAGAGATGAATGAGGTTGAAAATATAAAGAATTCTGTTTTATACATATTATGTTTAAGTGACTAATAGAACATCCAGTCAGAGATGACTAATAGCCTAAATCACGAACAAAAGATGTGATTATCAGATTAGATTTCTCAGTCATTGGTATATTAATATACTTGAAATGAGAATGGGTAAATCTGCACAATAGGATTAGGATATAACTCTAAATAATGTTTTAACTTAAAGGATGAGCAGAGGGCTTGGAATGTACCACAGTGGTAGAGTGCACTCCTGGTATTTGTAAATTCCCAGGTTTGATCCCTAAGCACTGCAAGGAAGGGGGAAAACAAACAAACAAACATTGAGCAGAAAAGAGCCTAAAATATTTGAGAAATAGTCCACTAAGTAGAAATAAAACCAGAAAATTATGATTCATGAAGCTAAGAATGGATAGTGTTTCAAAAGGAAATAGACAATATAACAAAGCTGAAGTGAGGTAAAATGTAATAAATACATATCAGGGATCTGGAATCCCAGGAGAGTTTTATCCATGACAACAGTTTGGGGAATAAATGGATATTTAAGAGCTGCACTGAGCAAATTTAAATAATTCTTTAACTGAGATGTTAAAGAGGTGCAGTACAGGCCGGGGATGTAGTCAGTGGCAGTGGACTTGCCTACCATGTACATGCAGTGCCCTGGGTTCAATTCCCAGTACCACCAAAAAAAAAAAAAAAAAAGTATATACTAATTATTCTAATTATTATATTACAAGTCTATGTATTAGACCAGATGAAGACTACAATAAAACAGAAAACCTACTTTTGTAAGCAGTATTATGGTTTCAAAGGCAGTTCTGTATTGAGTTTGGGAAGAAAGCTGAAATCCAGAAATATCAACCTAAAAGAGAAGGAGAGAGAGCCTTTAACATAAGAATAGTCAGACATTTCTATATTTTGAAATGTTTTACTCTCTTAAGCTAAAAATAATTTAATAATTCAAAATAAGTAACAGAAATTAAATTGTCAAGATTACTATAATTATTCTGATAAAATGTAGACAATCTCATATGTAACTCAAGCAAGCACTCAAACATTCAAACATAGTATGAAACAGATATTGCATAATAATATGCCAGAAAACTTGAGGAACCAAACCATAACTATGGCCAAACTTACATCTGATATAGCAGCAATGCGATTTACATACTCATATACACAGATTACCTACTGCACTTGTTCCACATCTTAATAGACTTAACAGAGTAAAATATGCTAGTATAGTAATGCATCACTTATGACAGGGATAGTCTAAGAAATACATCATTAGGTAACTTCATCACTGAATATCACATCACAGAGTGTATTTCCATAAACCAAGATGGCTATGATGTCATTAGATGCATAATCTTACGGGACCACCATAAGATACATGCAGTCCATCACTGGCCAAAATGTGGTTATGTAACACATGACTATATTTATTTAATCTTTAAATATTACTTATAAAAATGTTTCTAGAAAAACTAAATTCATACATTTGAACACCATAATAGTATGCATATGACTTACAACAAAAAGTAGTTGTCTAGTTCTTTCTATATGCTTGAGGAATTTGTGGCCCATTCCTCTGTTCATATGTGCTCCTTCTATCAAACCCGGCAAATCAGCAACAGATATCTAATACAAAGTTAATGATTTGATGGGGGAAAAAAAGTATGAAAACCACAGTTCAATTATATCCCAAAATTTTCATGACACTTCAAATACAAACTATTCATAATTTATGATTTCCAACAAATCTTTGAAAAGCCAAGACACCTTTATGACAAAAAAAAAAAAAAAAGGGAATCTGTTAAGAATCAAAACCTTTGTTTAAAATATAAGTTCTATTCTAACTTATTAATCTAACAATCTAAAGATTTGGGGGTTTAGTTTAGCATTTACTAGTGACACAAATCTATAATTCCATAAACTATATTGTTAATTAATGAAATTCTCACAGAATTTCAACTTTTATAATCTGATGTTTACAAAGACATTAATTCAGTAAACATTTACTAAATATAGCTCTATAGTTTTAAATTTTACATTCAATTTGTAAATGTCAGCATTGTTTCTTTTCTCTTCATATTATACCAGCAGAATTACTATTTTTATAAAATGAAAGAATATAGTAACCCTATACTCCTTTTGAAGTCTACTCCTTTTGAAGAGAATTATTAACTATTATACTACACTGTTTTTTTTTTCAAACTGAGCATCCTAATGTTTACAGGGAACTCCTATAAACAACAGATGGCCAGAACCCTACCTCCAAGAGATTTAGTTTCAAATTTCTGCAGACCAGACATCATTTATCATTGTCATTCTTAGGTCATGTAAACAATGTCGATGTGCAGCAAGAAATGAGAAGAAGTGCTCTACATTTACTGCTTAGTGTACATAAAAAATTCATAGTCTTATCAAAAGTTATAATTATATGAAAAAGAAATATCAACAACAGAGATCTCATGTCTTGAAATTTCCTTCACAGATTCTCTACTGATTTCCTTTTAATAGGGTAGAGGAATTTCCATGAAAAAATAAAGATGCATTTGAATTCCAGAATAAAGATACTATACATTCAAGTTGAGATAGTTTGTTCCATGGGTGGCTTCTGAAGGACAAGAGTTCTTTGGAATAATGTACCCTCGATTTGTTTAAGATGAACAAAAACTGTTAAAATATGCTGACTTTTTGGCCCCAAATGAAACAGAAATGCACATAATCTTGACTATTTTAACTTTGCTATAGTCATTTGCATGGTGGGTTTTCAGTGCTTTTTACATGACCATGCTTAAATTTTTGACATGAACTATCTTTGAAGTGATGGAAAAGTCATGATTATAAGGTGTCTATTTCTTTTGAATAGTAAAAGTTAGAATTTAGCCCATAGAAGTGTATGGAAATAGGTAACAAAGGATGTCTCTATCAGAATAATTTTACTAAAACAACTTTTGCATTCCCTTTGAATAAAATGAAGAAAAAAGGAAAATAAATAAATAAATAAGATTAGGTATAAACACCCAGTGAAGAGGCACACACCTGTAATCCCAGCTGCTTGGGTGGCTGAGGCAGGAAAACTGCAAATTCAAAGCCAGCCTCAGCAACTTAGTGAGGCCCCAAGCAACTTAGCAAGACCCTGTCTCAAAACAACAACAACAACAAAAATTAAAAGGGCAGGGGACGTGGCTCAGTGGTTAAGCACTCCTGGTTTCAATCCCAGGTAACCAAAAAAAAAAAAAGGTATAAATGATATTCCTTTTTTTTCTAAATATTGTTCTCTAAAGTCATGGTATACAGTATCTATAATTTTACTTACTATTCAATATTCTATAATAGTTGTTATATTTTTATCAATATTAAAAATGAATTTAAATCTTTATGTCTTATGAATTACATCAGAAAATTACTTGAACTCCATTGACATCATTTTCACTTACATTAGGGTTCATTCTTGGTGGTATTCATTTTATGGGTTTTGACAAATGTATACTTCACCCACCCTTACAGTATCAGAAGAATTGTTCTACTGCCCTATAAATTCTCTGTGTTCTGCTGACCCATCCCTCCTTCCTCCTTAACCCTGGCAACCACTGATTTTTTTGCTTTCTCCTATCTTTCTAGAATGTCATGAAGTTGGAATCACACAGTATACAGCCTTTTTAGATTGGCTGCTTTCACTTATTAATATGCATTCAAGATTCTTTGATATCTTTTCATGGCTTGATAGCACCTTTATTTTTAGAGCTGAATATTTTACTTTTTAAAGTAAACATTTGTGTAACATTCCATAATAAAAGGTATCTTGGTTGTTTCCAGGTTATTATGAATAAAGTTACTATAAACAACCATATGCAGGCTTTGCATGAACATGAATAAAATCTATAGTTATTCCTTATAAATGTTTAAAAACTAGATGAATTCGAAACCCCCATTAAAACTTTTCCCCGAGGGCTGGGGTTGTGGCTCAGTGAGTGGTACAGCGCTTGCCTGACACACTTGAGGCACTGGGTTTGATCCCCACCACCACATAAAAAATAAAGTTATTGTTTCCACCTACAACTAAAAAATATTTTTAGAAAAATGAATGTGGGAATAAAAATTTAAAAACTCCCCTCCACAAAAATAGAAAGTTAGAATGAAATTATGTCCATGAATTTAGAAAGTATTGTTTGGAAATGCAAAATACACTACAACATTAAGAACTTGTAATGAGAAGCAATAGATTAAGGAAGACATGATATTGTAGGAATAAACTGGATGTAATATTTGGAAGAACAAGAAATTAAATTCTTATACAATATTTTGCTATGACAGTGCTGACAAGAATTAATTTGACGACAGCTTCACTAAAACATAAAACAAAATCTTGTTACTTTTTTCTCTGAAAACCCAGAAATTGGCAAATATCATAAAGCCCTAGTACCAAAATAAAGTATCTCATTTCTAATCAAACATTTTACTTAAAACAAAATAAAACCCCACTCACCTGTTTAAAATCATTGTACATAATTTTTCCAAGTTCAGGCTTTAATGTTGTAACTGAAAGGAAAAAACAATAAGGCTAGCATAAAGGCTAGCTCTCTTTAAATGGTCTCAGCATTTTATACAGAATCAATAATATTTCTTTCCTGTGAACAGTTTCAGATTTTTTCTAATCTATTTGAATAGAAGTTACAATTATCTTTGCCATTTACAATATATTTGAAAAAAGGGTAGACATAGATTCTTAGAATCTGCACAGTTGAATAAGCCTAATCTAATTATTGGGTCTCAAATTTCTTCTTTTAAGCTTAAAGGAACATGGTAAAAATGCTTGAGGGCTCAGAATTTAGGTCTCTATCTCTGGGTCCATGGGTGAAAATTCCCTAGTTCTTTCTCATTTGGTTATCCTTAAGTCTTCCCGATTCTAGATTAGCCTCTTTCCTTTTTTTTGCTTTTCCTCCTTTTTCCTTCTCAAGAGCCCTGTACAATAAAGTAAATACTAGCCTTGAATTTATAACATCTAGTCCAAAATTAACTCTACTTCATCAGAGTCCAATTTTAGGATGGCTTAATTTTATTTTCCAGATTAATGTCACTGTATGTCTTTTTACTTAGTAATGGTACAGATTCTATCCTATTTAGTCATACTCTCAATCCAAGCTTTCATTCTATCTATCTAGTTAGCACAATAGCCTAAAAGCTACTCTTTCTACATACACCTATGTCCCATACCAATCAATTTCTAAACTATGGGCAGACAAAAATTCTTGAAAAACAAATCAAATAATTTTGTCCATTGCTTAATGGCTTCCCACAAAACATAAGATATTAAATAAAATGAAATAAGCCCACATGGTCTGTGTAATATAGTCTGTACTGACATCTCCAGCCTCATCTCTATTCCCTCTTTCCCTTAATTCATGTTCTCTAGCCATACATATCTCCTTGCCACTAATAAGTCTTTTGTTTTTTTAAATATATTTTGCACACATTTGTTTATACATTATACATATTTTTAAAAAAATATTTAGTTTTTTAGTTTTATGTGGACACATAGCTTTATTTTATTTTTATGTGGGGCTGAGGATCAAACCCAGTACCTCATGCATGTAAGGCGAGCACTCTACCACTGAGCCACAACACCAGCCCACTAATAAATCTTTGAGTAAAAGCTGTTTCATCTGATTTAAAGGCCCTTCACCTTTAATTCTTCTCACTAATTAATTCATAATTATTCTTCTTATCTTGACCCAAGCATCACACACTTCCTCAAGGTCACCAACACTCTTTCTTTGATCACTTTTATATTCCCTTATATTTGTTAGTAATATATATGCCTTTCCTCACTAGTCTATAAGTGCAACTAATGTTAGAACCTTGTAACCCCATAACCTAATGAAGTTCCTAGCAATAAATACTTGTTAAATGAAAATAATTACTTCTGTCTTCCTAGTATCTACTACAGTGCTTGATAAAGTGTAAGTAGCTTATAAGGAAATCAAATAAATGTGCAACAGAGAAATAAATTAAATGAAACAAGTACAATAAACTTTCCTGAGATTATAAGATTTCAAATAAGAAATATAGGATTGAACTGACCAATTTTACGCAGAAAACTTAACATTTTATACTCAGAAAATTTAAGCCTTTAAAAGTTTCTTTGCACATTAAAATATACAATCAATTTATACTTACATGCATAATCTGCTATTGCAGGTTTTGCATGAGAAATCTGACTTAGCAAAGAGGATTTTCCAGCATTTGGGAATCTAAAGGGAGAAAATAAAATTATATATTACAACATATATTACTAATACTTGCTTATCCCTGAATTCCCAACAGTTCAAGAAGTAGACTTTTTGAATATTTCCCGAATTAAAAATAAAATACAGGAGTTGGGGGTATAGCTTAGTTGTAGAGTACACACTTAGCATGCATGAGGAACTGGGTTCAATTCCTGACACTAAAAAAGAGTAGAACATAAATCTAATAGAATCTGCAAAACTTGAAAATAAAATATATTTATGAAAAAGGTAAAAATAAATTCATGAGCGACATCTGAAGTGTTTCAGAAATAAAAGATTAAAATAATTTATTCTAATTATTTAAAAACCTTTGAAAATCACAAATAAATTAAAAAGACTGACAATCTACTATCTCCAGCCAAACACTAATAAAATATTACTCATTTTGGTTTTTGCATTGTTTTTTAAAAAATGAACATTTTCAAACATACACATCAGAAAAGAGGAATAATGAAACCCACGCAGCTATCACCTAACTTCAACAAATATTAATAAGTTGCCAATACAATTTTTAAAGCTGTTTGATTAAACAGAGACACAAAAAGGTCCATGCATTACAATTAGCTGATGTCTCTTTTATCTATTTTGATACAAACTCTCCCTCCATGTGTTTTCCCTTTTCTATTTATTTTTAAAGAAACAGGATCATTTGTCCCGCACAATTTATTTTCCATTCGGGCATCTACATGATTATCACCTAACATGCTCTTTTGCCTTGGATTTTCCATAAATTGGCAATTATAAAGTCTTCATTTAGAACAAAACAAAAAACTTGGTTGGCCTGCTTTTTAAGTAAATAATATGAGCACTTTTCAAGGATAAAGCTTAACTTGCTATTTTCTATTGATAAACATTTAGATTGCCTCCAATATTTTGCAGTTAATTGCAAAACATATATATATATATATATATACACACACACACCAGGTATACACTGTTAACAGTCATTTCTGAGTGGTGGTATCAATAGATAATTGCTTTTATCTTTCTGCAAACAAATGTATATTATTTGTACATTTTTTTTTTCTAAAAATTTTAAACAATGCCATGTTTATTCATAAACCTTTGTACCTATCTTTAACATCTTTCTTGGGATGAATTTCTAGGTAAATAAATGCCGGATTAAACTATATGTTCATTTTAAAGGCTTTTGATTTTATTGCTATATTTCCATCAAGAAAAGTCTACCAGGTATTTAAAAAGTACTAAGAAAGGGGGTTCTTAAAAGTTTATTTTGTAAATTTTACTCACATTATTTGAATAAACTTCACTAACAAATATTTACTGAGCACTGACTGTAACAATCTGAGCATCAGAAATTCAGAAATTTAGTAATGAAACAAACATGCCTGCTAAGAGCCAAGTATATGATGCATGGCATTTTTGGTTGAAAGGTGACGCCAGCTAGCCATTGAGATGATATGATTATGTTAAGATTTGCATTCATATGGATATTGGACTCCTGCTGTTCACCTAGGCCAGCTACGGGACTCCTGGAGAGTTCCCATTGGTTGGGGAAGTACAGTAGGAGGGAGTTCCGGGGGAGGAGCTCTCTCGGCGGTCCGAGAGGAGGCCGCGTGGGTGGAAAAAATCTTCCCGGGCGGTACCGGACATTGGCGGCAGTTTCAAAAAATAAACTTTGTTCCTGCTTGAGTGGCTCGTGATTTTGTGCCCAGCCAGACTGCGGCACATGCCTTTAGTTTTCATTCAAATTTGAGGAAAGTCTTCTTTCAAAAATTCTGACAAACTTTTATAGGGAATAATGGTGTAATACTACTTAAAAATTCTATAAAAATTTATAGGCTCTAGAATGGAGCTCTTTAACAATTTTCTTCATAAAAAAATCTTTCTATAATGAATTATGTGAGAATTCTTAATGATTATTTTCCTCTAGACTATATATTATTTTCTCATATTCTCTTTTACCCAGTCTCTTATAACTTCGGGAAAAAAGCAAATTGTACCCATTTTTGTCCATGATTTTTTATTTAACATTCTTTTAGTTTTTGATGAACCTTTATTTTATTTATTTATATGTGGTGCTGAGAATCGAACCCAGTGCCTCACACATGCTAGGCAAGTGCTCTACCACTGAGCCACAGCCCCAACCCTTCCATCCATTATTAAAGATGAGAAAACAAAGGCTTAGAGAAGCTATGTAACTTACCTAAGACCAAGCCAGCCTTTTAAAGATTTGAGATTCTAACCCAAATAGTCCCTTACCTTTAGTACTCAGCCTTGCTATGTTTGTTATAGTCTTAAAGGTGTCTCTTTGGAATCTGAAAAACATTTTCTACTAAATGAGGCTGTGAATGGCTGGATTTCTAGTTCTTGTCCACAAAACCCTATTAAACCCACAATGTTCCTGAAGAATATAGAACATTACAGAAACTATGCCTCACAATTTTCATAACGGTGTCTTAGTTAAAAAAAATAAATGTAGGGACTGGAGTTGTGGCTCAGCGATAGAATGCTTGCTTACTATGTGCAAGACATTGGGTTTGATCTTTAGCATCACATAAAAATAAATTAAAAAAAGGTATTGTGTCCAACTAATATATATATGAAATTAAATGTGAATGGCAAGCCAGGAAAACACCTTCCCTGTTATAACATTAGCAAGAATAGGCCCTCTGGGCACTCTTAAGTCAATAGTGGTTAAGACCTAGTGGCTGGTCAGTCAGGGCAAGAAGTACAGTCTGATAAAGAAGTAATAGTCTGATAAAGGAGAAGTGAGATGGCTGGAGAGAAATATGAAAAAAGCTTTAAAAAATAGCCATTGGAAAAGCAAGGAAAAATTTGGAGCAGAGTATCAAAAAGGCAGCTTTCCTATCTTTTCCACTTGAAAAACGGTTAGTACAGTAGCAGGGAGCCAGAGAGAGGGAGAGGGAGAGGGAGAAGAAGAAGGAGAGAAAGAGAGGAAAGCAAATCAAAGTTTACCCTTCCTATTCCTACTCTCCATCTTGCTATCTATCCTCCTGTGGTAGGCACCAAAACAGCAAATCCCTCAGCTAAATGGCACTGTTTAATGAAAGAGTGGAGAGGACAATATTAAGGTATGCAGTACTAAGAATAGACAGATCCTAAGCAGAGACATAAAGAAACAATGACAACAAGATCCATTTCAATGCCCCAAAATGTGTAAGTCTGAGGACTGAGAATGTCCATACTGGTCTTTACATATTTAATTAATGATACTTCAATCTCCCTCTTAACACCTGAGAATATCTTAATCATTTTTTTTCTTTCTGTGTACTTTTAAAAGTATGGTTTGTTTGGATTTCTAATTTTATATCAGTAATATTTTTTAACCTTCTTATTATATTTCATTTGACTGAATTTATTTTTCTTTATTCATTCTCTCACATTCCAATGATCAATACAATTGCTCTGATTTTCTTTTACAAATGAACAGTAACTATGAAACTCTATATCAACAATCTGAAAATAATTCAAGATGACACCTGCATAATATGAGTTTGAATTGCAAATCTCACCTCAGTGCAGATTTTTTTTTTGTTCTGGAACTTGGCAAAAACTTATGCACAAACTTACAACCATACATGGCACCATTTGCAGTCAAGGTAAATGTAAACAAACAAAACATTCAGTACAAAACCACAACTTCATAAAATTAATTGCAGTACAAAAGGCACTACTGTAATAATTTCTAAGCCACCTCTTGTTGCTATGGTAATAACCTCAAGTGTTGCAAGTATCCACTGAAAAATTCCATGTAACCAAAATCATATCTACATGAGATGCCTGTCTGTCCCATAAATTGCATATAATAGTAAAAAGTGATTTCTCAAAATTTTCATGACACATAAGGCATGTAACATAAAATATGACTTCTTACGTTATCCATATGGTGTCCAGTCAAGAAGCACGCTATTACTAGTTAAGTTTTTGAGGAATCAAAAGTTATATGCATTTTTTTGATTGCAGGGGAACAATCATGGGGTTGGCTGGTACCCCAACCGCTGTTCAAGGGTCAACTGTGTATTTGGCACAAATACAAAGTACACTCACAGCACACAAATTCTATAAACCAGAAATAATTCATGGCCCAAATTGTTATTTACATTTATTTCCTACTTATGAGCTGGCTCACTAAAAGTATGATAAAAATATGCATGGTACATACCCTACCAGGCCTACATCAGCTATAAGCTTCAGGTCAAGGTGAATTATTCGTTTTTGGCCTTTCAATGGTAAAAAATTTGTAAGAAATTTACCACCAATGCCACCTTCAGCTATCAAAATTCTGTCTTCCTCTTTATTGAGTTCTCCTTTAAAAAAGGGAGAGAAATGGCAAAATTTAATAAGTGAAATCAATAATGCGGTATTTTTCTGCCAGAAAAACATCAAGAAATTTCAGTTTACAAATCTAAAGGGCTAAAGCACAAAACCAAGCTTCTTTTAAAACTCTGACCCCCACAGGCCTGTAGATATAACTCATATATGCCTAACATGTACGATGCCCTGGCTTCAATCCCAGTTCTATCAAAATAAGTATAATAAATATATAAGTCTGACCCTGGAAAAACATTTCTGTAAGCAAATGAAAAAGACCAATTATATGTTTTAAAAACAAGTAGTACTCTTATGTCTTTAAATAATCTTAAATCCAACAGTAAGTTTTGAACAACCTTTATATACATTTTAGAAAGCTCTTTTTATAAACTAGAAGCTAAAATTATTAATGTTAAAAAAATTCTTCTGAAACTCAAGAAGCTATTTTTTAAGACCCCCAATCAGTTTTTCAAAATGTGCATATTTTTCACAACCTTATAAATGTCAATAGACTCACCTATAATTTTACCATTTTCATCAGTTACTGAAATACCCACAGGTACAGGGATTTCACAGTCTTTTCCTTTAGAGCCTTGCAGTGCACTAACCCTTCAAAAAAAAAAAAAAGAAATAAAAAACTAAATTAAAATAAGAAAAACTTCCTAAATTAAGTGGTTTATGCTTCAAACAAATACAAAGAAGAATAGCAATCAACTCTTCTGGGTAATGTAGATAGTAAATGATCAAATACTAAAGGAAAACTAAAATTATCCCTACTTATTGCATGCTGGACTACTGTATCATATAAAAATGGTAACAGGTAATGATTTAAGTTACCAAGCTAACCACCAAGTCATTTTAACCCCAAATGAACTAAGATATTACACATCTGGAATGAAAAATCTCATTGCGACAATATAAGCTAGAAAAAATGCAAACTACACTGCATAATAAAACATTTAAAAAACTGATCTCAAATAAAAGGACTTAAATTATAAAAGGATAATGTGGCTACTCTTAAACTGCTCATGAAAAAATAAATTAGTACAAACTTCTAACTTAGTAAGTCCACTTCTGGGAATTTATTCTCCTCCAAAAAATATTGAACAACTACGTAAAAAGCATCTACACAAGGATGTTATATTGTGGTCATAACAGAAAAAAAATTAAAGTAAAAACAACTATAACCATGAAAAAAATGTTAAGTAAAAACAGGTTGTAAAACATTGTGATCTCATTTTTTCCCTTTTTTTGTTCCACAATTATACATATAATTACTTTGTGCAAACACAGAAAAAAGTATTAGAATAAGTAAAAAATAGTGGTTATCTCTGGGTGAAAGAACTATAGTTGACTGCTTTTTAATGGTGGTACAGAGAAGCATAGTTGAAAAAGATTTCCTAAAGGTTGTCCAAGATAATTTTAGAATAGTGGGGACTCACATCATTTTTTCTCTATCAGGAAGGGCAGGAATAGGAATACAGAAAGACACTGAGAGAAAAAATGGTTAAAAAGTTTAAAAGCTCCAAATGCACAGACCCAGCTTTTCATGAGTTAAACATTTTAGACCTGCTCAGTTATAAATACAGGATATAATTTACTTCAAATTACCAATTAAATTTTATCTGATAACTTTTTTTTTCTTTAGGTTTAATTCTATAAAATTAAAGTCATTCAGTAAGCACTTACCGACTATTTGTTCCTTCTCCAGCCACAAACCGTTTCTGAGGATATTTGTCTTTAAGTTGTTTTAAGGTCATCTTTTTATGGGCTACAACCCAGACGTCACCACCTTTTCCACCTTCTCCACCTAAACGAGGATAACCCATTCCACCACTTCCTCCTTTGGCGAAAAGTCTTAGGTTATCGATAAAATTTCCATACTTAAAAAAAGAGAGAAAACATTAGGTATCAAATGTGTCTATCAACTTAGAACTTCCAGTTCTGTTTCACTAAAATTTCTTTTTATAAAAGAATAAAAAATCGCTTTCTTTATGCCAATTCTAGAGCCTTTACTTAGTTCACCTCCCATCTCACCTCCTCTCCCCATTCCTCTTAGGACTCTTCAGTTATTGATTTTTGTTTCATTTATCCTCAGGGTCCCCTTTTCATCCTAAATTTTCTCTCCTGGGTGATTTCAGTCCATATCAATAACTATCACCTAGGTGAGATATTTTCTATGCCCAACCTGTTGAATATCTCCACCAGGATGTAGGTTTTTGGTAATTTAAAGCAACTGAGAGCAGGGTCTGTATTTAATTTATATTTGAAACCCCTAAATTATGTAACTTGCTGGTGGATATCACCTGAATGTATAACTGTCACCTCAAAAACAAAATATTGGTCTGGGGACAGCTCAGTGGCAGAGTACAAAAAGTGCAAGGCCCTGGGATGGATTCCTAGCACTGCAAAAGAAAAAAACAAAAACAAAAAAACCCAAACAACAAAACAAACCCAAAATTTCCCCACCCCAGAATTTGTTTCTCCAATGTTCCCTCAAATAATGGAATCATAGCTATTCATTGAGACAGCAGAAATAGATGTCTTTCAGACTACACCTGTTTCTTTCCCAGAAGCCCTGCAAGCTCTCTCCTTCCTGGTACCACTGCCCTAGAACCTTGACCAATACATTAAATCCAAAATGGTCTTTAGATGCCTAGTTATTTCTTCCTTAATGCATCCTCCATCTTGTTGTCCACAGCTATTTTTCTGAAATGAATCTGATCTCTACTGCTGTTTTCCCCCTACTCAAAAACCATGCATGGCTTTTTGGTCTTACTAAGTAAAAAAATCATAGTACTGCATTCAAAGCCCTTACCAGTATCATTTTCATTTGTTCAATCCCTCCCAATTGCCTCTTCATCTTGCTCTTTTCTACATGATGTTCTGCCATGACTCCATGACACTCTGCTCATGCTTTTCTTCTTAGAATGTCATTTTTTCCTATCATAAACTCTTCTAAATGCCATATTTCCAATGTTCCCTCAAATAATGAAACCATACTTTGGTCCCATTATTTGAAAGAACATTGGAGGAACAGATTTCTTAATTCCTATAATCAACACTTAACCTGACAATGCTGGCTCTCAGCATTTTTATTATACCTCTATTATTACATTTTTGAAACTGTATATTTTACCAGTTTCCCTCACTAAATCAATAACTTTTTGTAGGTAAAGATACACGTATTAACCTCCCAGGTTATCAACACAACTTACAGAATAATTTCTTAAATTAAAAAATTTCATATTTTTAGTCATTAAGGATAGTTCTAAATTTCAAGTATATCCAGGAAACTTTTATAAATCGAAACACTGACCATTCTTATAAAATTCTTGAGGAAGGTTTTTAAAGTTCCATTTCACATGCGACTTTTTTTTTTTTAACCCTTCTAGATTCATCAGATTCACAAGTTTAGTCGCTCACTTAAAAGGAATATCTCAAGGTAATCGTCAGTAATAAAGTTAAGTGTACAAAATATGATGTTAGCAGAGGCCATCGTAAGCTTTTTTTTCTGTTGGTTTTTTAAGCAGCTGTGAATTTTTACGAAAAATGCTACACAAAAGCTAGCCTAAATTTTCTGCAAGACACATCGATTACACATTTCCGTTTCCTGATAAAGTCCTCTCTAGAAAGATCTTAAAAGCAGTGTATTGAAGGGAAATCTATTTTTTAAAAAGTCTACGATTAATACTTTAAAAACTCAATATGTGAGCCCAAACAAAAGCAAAACAACCCTATACCCCACATACAATATATTTCGTGCCTAAACGGCAGGCAGGTACCCCATTTCCTTCCACGTGCACACAAGGCCCCTAAAGAATCCCAAACCCTGTCGCCATTCGTTCTAATCACTCAATGCAGCACTCTTCACCTCTACAGGCAAAGCCCGACACCAGGGAGGGGTCGAGAGGACTCCTAAAGCCAAGCAGAAAAGAGGCCCCTAGAAAGAAAACAGTGGGGGGAAGCGAGGAAGACACAGGACCCTCAGCTGGAAATAGGTGCACCAGGCTGAGGGACACCAGAAAACGGACCTTTCTGAACAACGCGCAACTGCAATGCACCATAACGGCGCGGGGCGATTCCCTCCCAAGGAAGCAGTGTACTTTCTTGTGGCGCGCCGCTTACGTCACAGCCAGCCGCCGTCGGGATGTTTTTTCTTCCGCAAGCGTCTACGGACTGGCGCATGCGTGGTACGGAGGCTCGCGGTGAAAGAGGTGCATGGGCTCCTAACGTCGCTAGTCCTGCTCTGGGTGAGGCAGCAAGTCTACAAGAAAACCAGAGTAAAGCCCTGAGAAAAGGTCGAGAAGAAGTGCGCCAAGGGACCTTAGGGTGCAGAATTGGTGCCTCTGGAATTAACATTTCGAATGGAATAGAACTGGAGACTTGACTGACTGGACACTGGAACTTGAATTTTTATACTAATTGAGAAAGATGCAAAGTACCAGAATCTTTAAAGTGAAAATCTTCCAGCAGATTTAAAAGCAAATCATGTAAAAGACAGGGAAACTCAATTGGTAAAACAGTGCCTCCAAAGCTGCTGATTGCAAGGATGAGCGGAGTAATCTGCCAAAGCTGTTGCTTGGAGAAACAATGAATTTAAAACTTGTGGCACAAAAGCATTATTGAGAAAAGTGTCCAAGATTTGAGATCTCTAAGAAGACTCTCGTGCAACGGATAAAATTAAACTTGTCTTCAATTATTTGTCAGTAGCTTTTTGGAGTCAGATAGCCAAGAGCTCTTATCTGACTCTCATTTTTCTTTTCTTTTCTTTTTTTTTTTTTTTAATTAGAGCTTTATAATTATACATAGTAGTTGGGTTCATCCCAAAAACACACATGCAAGGAATTAGAATTCAATTTGCAGCGCTCCTCTGTGAGAATTAGAGGTTACCTTTCCTCAGCCTGGGCAGAACCATCAGAGAATAGTTAACTCTCAGACATCTTTTTGCCCCGCCTCTTCCCATGCTCCCATACAGTGAGGAATGTAGACATTCTTAATGGTCTCTCTACACTGATAGTTTTATAATTTTTTTTTAACCATCACGACTAAATTTATAAAATCCTTTTAACACCTCAATATGACAATCTCTTTACCTCTCAATAAGGACAATGAAAGGTGCATAAACTATCCCGCACTGTCTAGATTCTTTCACTGTCATTGGACCTCCCTCTTCACCATCGGTGAAACTGTAATTAGCGTAACCTGTAATTCTTGTATGAATTTTCCCGCACTGTCTTCTTTAGTGTTGACTGTTAACCCAAACATTATCAGTTTGTCTCCATCAGTGTATTTATCTCTTTTAAATATGGATTTCAGATTGTTATTGTTATCTGTTTATAGTTAAATCTTGATAACATTTCTGCCATTTGAATCCTCTCTTTTATTAAGTCTTCTTATTTCAGAATAATGTTAAGTTCAGTGTACTTATTTTCTAAAGCTTATTTCTCATTAGAGTACACAAGCCCATTTTCTTTTCCATAACATACATGGTGAGTGGTAGTTTTGTTTTTCTTTTTATAAAAAAAAATGGTGTCCTATTAGTTGAAAAAAACTCCTTTTCTTAAACGGAGATGTTTAATGTATGGAAATTATAGTTCAAAGAGGAGAAAAACCAATAATTACATAATTTTATATTACTTCCTTCTAAAATATTGAAGTTTTATGAAAAGAAAGTAAATAAAAATTACTTATCAAACATTACAGTAATGCTAGATATAAAAGACTATATAGCCTAATTAGAATTAGGTAAGACATTGAGTGATCTTGACCTATTGTTTTAATCTTGCACAGTCACCTAAGAATTACCACTGAGTCAAAGCCATGATCCATCCAGCCCTGCATTTTATTAAGAGTAGCCCCCAAATGGATGGAACTGCAGGACATTATGTTAAGTGAAATAAGCCAGGCACAGAAAGACAAATTCCACCTGTTCTTACTCATTTGTGAGCATTAAAATCTGATCACATAGAAATAAGGAATAGAATAGAGAGGTCCCTAGAGGACAGGAAGCATATTGAAGAGGGGGTTTAGTGATTGGGTGGATAATGGGTGCCAAAACACAATAATGTTATGTGGCACAATAGGATAACTGTAGTCTACAGCAAGTAATTATACATTTCAAAATAACTAGAGAAGAGTTTGAATTTTCCCAACACAGAAACAATAATATTTGAGGAGATGGAAATGCTAACTGTCATTATCTGATCATTACACACTGTATACATGCATTGAATTATGAACAGTACCTCATAAATAAGTATAAATATTACATGCCAATTAAATGTTAGAATTTAAAAATTAAAATTTAAGTTAAGGGCTGAGGGTAAGCTTAGCATGTTCAAAGCCCTGGATTCAATCATGGACACCAATTATTATTTTGGTTTTACTTAAAAAAAAAAACAGTAGCCCAAATTCATAAAACCTATTCTAGTGTTAGTCATAATGTATGAGAATCTCAGGTAAGAGTTGTTGGGTAGTCAGAACCAAAAAAATAGAGTTCATTGAGTTATTTTGTCTTGTCACTTCTGTTGAATACTAATAAGATATAAAACTATACATCCGACATAGTTTTATATCTTATTAGTAGGATCACAGGATGGGGTTGAGATGAATCACTGCCTTTTTCTTTTGGAATTTTGGTGAATATCATGACATGGTAATTTTGTGCTATGCCAATTCAGCTTAACTATGCTTCCCAGAATTTCCTTCCTTATTGTGGTTTCAATTTTATGTTGGCCACTAGGGACATTTCTCTGAGATTTGGAAGAAAGAAGCAGCATCCATTATGCTCTGAAGGTTGGTGCCAGGCCCCAGGCATCACTACTATGTTCTTTGTATGCCAAGGAATTCACGTACTTGTGTGTGTATGTGTGTGTGTGTGTTTGTGTGTTTTGTTACTGACATTCTGCCTCACTTTGTCTACATAGTATAGAAACCAGTTCGACAGCTTCTCCAACTCCCAAGAGATCTTCAAATTTCAATTTCTGGACCAGTACCACATGTAGCAATATGGACAAAGGCACTAACTTTATCTGCAGGTGGCCTGTATCATTGGGGTTTGATGTTAGGGTTAGGGTTTCAGTTTGTCCTTTTGGCTTCTTATTTGTTCTTGCTTTACCCTCCAGTAGGTCCAGCCATTTTTTCTAACTCTCTTACCTGTAACTATAATTTCATGCTTACCATCAGTTGCAGAAGCAACATCATTGCACATACTTCTTCAGCACATCCCTTTGTGGTCCCTTTTTAGTGACTTTTCTTTGATCCTCCAATGATTCCTTTTCAGATCTTTATTTCCTCAGTTTTTCCCCAAACTGTGAAAAATTATAATACCTACAATAAAATCCTTATCCATAAACCATTTATAGAGTCTACTTCCTTGACTGAATCCTATTTGATATAATGCCTACTTATAGAAAGGACATAATACCTTAATTACACCCCAATGGGAGAACTTAAAAACACCCCAGGTAACAGTTGTCCTACAAATGGCAAGGAGGAATGTGTGTTTAGCCTGGCAGGATAGCACAGGATGGCTTACAGGATAGCATACACCAAGCAATGCCAAAGGACTTTGAATGTAGGAAGGAATTTAAAAAGGAACCTGGATGTCTATTCTAGTCTACCCTGAGAATATGCTATAGCTTGGGTCGTAAGGGTCCCCTAAGTTCATGTGGTTAAGGCTTGCCCCCTAGTGTTGTGCTACTGGGAGTTGGTAGAACATTTAGGAAGTAAGGCTCTGTGACTGGTGTTCAGGTCATTGTGGCATGCTCTTGAAGGGGATAGTGGGACCTTTACTCTCTTTTTGCTTTCCAGTCAAGGGATTTCTATTTTATTTTTTTAGTTATACACGGGCACAATATTTTTATTTTGTTTATTTATTTATTTTTATGTGGTGCTGAAGATCGGACCCAGGGTCTCACATGTGTGAGGTGAGCGTTCTACTGCTGAGCCACCACCCCAGCCCTGGTCAAGGGATTTTGCTCTGCCACGTACTTCCACCATGGCATGCTGCCTCACCACAGGACAAAAATCAACAGGGTTAACTGATCATGGACTGAAGCCTACAACACTGAACAAAATAACCTTTTTTTTTAATCTTTGCAAAGGGATTATCCCAGGTTTTTGTTATAGTTATGTAAAACTGGCTACCAGTATATTTATATTCTCAGTGAAGTAAAAATTTAAAAAGAGAGCTAACTCAGAATGTGTCTGTTTCTTGCAGAGATTCAGTTCTTTAATAACAATTCCATCTCTACTCTTTGCTTTCAGATTATCATAAAAACAAATAAATAAAAAGAGAAAAAACCCAGAAGGCCAGATGTTAGGAAGTGCTTGACTTTACTTTCCAGGGTTAAGTATTCTGGCTGTACTAAAAACTTGATGGAAGTTGTGCATGCTCCCCACCCAGAGTCCATGTCATATACACACTTTTTTCCCCATTCCATTGAAGGGCATTCCATGGTTCATATGCCCATTCATGGGAGTCTAAAAAGTTCTCTAAGACTCCCCAGCCTTAAGATGGCATATAAGCCTTCCCAATATGGGGCTTCCATCTGGGCTCCATATCAAGGAATGACCTACTTTTTATCCCTTATCTTTATTGAAGAACTAGCTCTTCATAAAAGGTCTTTCAAGAACACCTTCAAGATAGAACTCTTTTTTTTTTAAAGAGAGAGAGAGTTTTTTAATATTTATTTTTTAGTTTGTGGCGGACACAACATCTTTGTATGTGGTGCTGAGGATTGAACCTGGGCCGCACGCATGCCAGGCAAGCGCGCTAAAGCTTGAGCCACATCCCCAGCCCCAAGATAGAACTCTTGATTCTCATCTCTCTCTACCTCCGCTACAACATCATTTCTCTCTAGTCACCCTCATCTCCCTAACTGGCTGAGCAAGCAAAAAACCTCAGTCAACCTTGATTCCACTCTTTCTGGCTTCTCACATGCAATTTATCAGTGAAGTCCTGCTAATTAAATTTCCAAATATTTCCCAATTCTGACCCCCTCTGTCTTCATTCAAACTTATAATCTTGGGTACAGATTGTAGTAAAAGCCCCCCAATTGATTTCATTGCTTCTACTTTTGACCCCTTTGGTCCATGCTCCACAGAG